ATTTCATTATTATTGACAAATTCATGTACTATTCTATTATTTTTGTGTGAAAAGTCCATACGAAGAATGACTATATTTGTTTAGACATTTACGTAATCCATAATAAACAAGTCTGATGGTTAAATAACATGAGATACAGTCATTTCAGCTTATACGAAATCAAGTTATTTCACTTCGCTGTATTGATAACAGTGTCTAGTTCGATAAGTAAAGCATGACATATCTCATATAGGACTGAATAAATAAATATGAATAACAGACACACACACAGAGAGAGACAAAACTCATTTGTTTACATGATAATTACAAGCATTTGAATTATAGTATGAACTAAGAATCCCAGAAATAACGTAATCGGATCGAGAAATACTAGATAACCACAAACGAATGTACTGTATTTATAATTCGAAATCAAGCATTCAACAAGTATAAAGGTAATATTAGTTCATTCAAACACCACATCCGCCACAGCTTAAATTGGAGTCTAGGTGTCTGTAATCAGTTGTACGTCTTCTTCTCAAGTTCATCCTGTTTTTGTCGGACAGTGTATTGGATAAGGACTCTGTATTATCTAGAATGTGCTCATCAGCATTAGAATTAACAACCGAAATTGGGATAGACTCACCTGATTCCTGGAATTGTATTTGGTCAACATGTCGATTGTGTGTACTTAAGTCATTGATATCCAGAATTCGCACCATAGATTTCCCGACATGCTCCAGAACAATCCCCGTGGATGGTCGACGATCATTTCCACGATAATATGTAACTTCTGCAGACTCCAAACATCTCATATTCGACCGAAGAATTCTTCCTTTTAATAGCTTTGATGGAGTCTCTTTCGTCACCGAATGTCTGGCATTTCTATATTGCAGTAGAAAGGTATCTACTTCCCTCTCCAGCTCATTAAATGTTGAGGCGGCAATAGAATCAATAGCAGTCTTCAATGTCCTGACAAAATTTTCTGCCTGACCATTAGAACAAGGATGTCTGGGAGCAGTAAACAGATGTTTGCACCCTATACCATTCAACCAGGTAGTGACTGCATCCGCAGCAAAATGAGAGCCATTATCAGTCACTAACACCATGGGAACCCCTTCTCGACTAAACACCTTTCTTAATGCCTAGATTGTGAAGTCAGAATTTGGTGAAGTTGTAAAAAAACCTCAGGCCACTTTGAAAAAGAATCAATGACTACAAGTGCATAGTATTTGCCAAGAAACGAACCACAATAGTCCACATGAATTCTCTGCCAGGCCTCAGACGATACTGGCCATGGAGTCCACTTCGAAGGCTGATTTTTCAACTTATGACATTTCTCACAATTGTTTGCTGTACGACATATATCTGCATTTATCTCTGGCCACCGACATGTGAGCCTTGCCAAGGACTTCATTTTCTCAACACCTAAATGTCCACTATGAAGATCTTCAAGGACAGATTTACGCAATAGAGGAGGAATAACAACACGATCATTTAAACACAAAATACCATCAGGAGTAGTGGATAGCTCATCCCGCTTTGAAAAATAGACAGGAAATCTACGTTTCAGATTAGCATTCCAACCTTTCCGTATAGCACTGAGTATACATCCAAAGTATCTACGAGTTTCTCTAATGAGATCTGGACGTCTCACTGGTAAAGGTTGCACTAACAAACAGTCTGAAGTATTAACAGGTCTATCTTGTAATGATTGTCGAGAAATGTAGTCAACGTGTTGAATTTGTTTGGCACTTCTGTGCTGAACCGTATAGTCATATGCACTCAAAGCAATACTCCATCGTTGAACCATAGCAGCTAAGGATTTTTCAGGATGATAAATAAACTTTAAAGCTTCATGATCAGTAACAATAGTGAATTTCTTTCCGAATAAATATTTATGAAGTCTTTTAACAGCCCAAAACACAGCTAATGCTTCTCGCTGAGTCTGTGAATAACCTTGTTCAGTAACAGTAAGTTTGCGTGAAACACAAATAACTGGTCTACCTTCCTGCTCCAAAACTGCGCCAATACCCACAGGTGATGCATCAGTAATAAGCACAGAATGTACACTAGGGGAGTAAGTTCGAAGAACAGCATCACTTTGAAGAAACTTTAGTAGACTTCGTAAGCATGACTCTTGTTCCTCACCCCATTTGAATGAATTGGATGTCAAAATATTAAATAAACAATTTGCACGACAAGAAAAATTAGGAATAAAACGGGAATAGTATTGAAGAGCACCCACTAGTGAACGTAATTCTGTAAGATTTTTTGGAGACGGTGCATTTGTCAGTGGAGCTAGTCGTTTCATATCTGGTCTAAAACCATTACCATCAACTAGGTATCCAAGACATTCAAAACTAGATACACAAAATGAACACTTATTTGGATTCACTGTAATATTCCTCTCAATTAAACGACGCAATAAAGCAATAAGTCTCTGGTCATGAACTACCTTATCAGAACCATGAACAATGAGATCATCTTGATAAACTTCAACACTTTCAAGATCACTAACTACTTTATTCATAACTTCCTGAAATATGGCTGGAGAACAACTTAGACCAAATGGAAGGAAATTGTATTTGAACAGACCAAAAGGAGTGTTAATTGTCGTCAAAATAGATGAAGATTGATCTAAAGGGATTTGAAGATAAGCATCATTTAGGTCAACTTTCGAGAACACTTTAGAACCATGAAGTCGATTTAGAATATCTTCAGCCTCTACCGTCGTGCACGTTTGCTTCAACAAACGGGAGTTCAATGTTAATCTATAGTCACCACAAATTCTAGGGGTCTTGCCGTCCGACTTCAGTGGTGTAACGATAGGAGTACCCCATGCTGAAGACTGAATCGGTTCAATTATGCCTTTCGCACACGAATCGTTTAATGTCTTATGTACTGCTTCTCGAAGACCATAAGGAATTATTCGTCTTTTAAGAAAGACTAAATCACCCTGTACTTGAAGTTTTATAGGCTGAATTTTCATACCTTCACTGCACACGTAGCTATCAAATCTTTAAGTAAAGCATCAGAGTTTTCTTTAGAAACTAGGAAGGACAACTCCACTTTAAGCCTTTTCAAGTTCTTTAAACCCAGTATTGACAGTCCTGTTTCGCTAAATAAAGATTCACAAGGTATGTATGAAGAATTATCATCTTATATTAGCGATTCACAACATCCTCGTATGGGCAGTCTGTGTCCAGTAATCCCCAGTATTGATACTTCAGTGGGTCGTACCACAACGTTAGGATCTAAAGATTTCAAGTTCTTGAATGGAATAATGGACTCTATACTGCATGTGTCCACAATAAAGTCATGAAATGAACCAAGTGATGTATATAACCGCTTTTGAATATGAGCATTACCTTTCGAAATGGTAGACAAAGATAAATGATCATTAGGAACAGCTGAATTAGTGGGATCTTAACTACAAGATTTAGTACTACTTGAAGCAAAATGGACAGTAGCTTTGCATACTGACTGAATGTGTCCTATCTCACCACATTTAAAACATTTAGCATTACGAAATGCACATGAATTACGAGAATGAAACTTTCCACATGATAAACATTTACCAAACTTGATCTCACCTTTGTGATTTGCTTTGTGACTCCTTGTTGAAACACCTTTCATATTTACACGAGAATAGGAATCACTGTTAAACGAGCGCAAGTTTGATTGACCCTGAGATTGTATTTCATCATGACGACTAAGCAAAGTATTAGAAATCTTCATCGACTGGATATCAAATTCATTCACTGCCTCGTAGTTAATACACGCAGTCCTAGCATCTTGAAAGGAACAGTTCGGCATTCTTAACAGCTCTCTTTCCAAACCCGGTATGTTAATTCCTGAAATTAATCGATCTTTCAGTTGCACATGAAGTTGATCACCGAAATTACATTTGGAAGCTTATTTCTGCAATTCAAGGATGAATTCCCTAACCTTTTGATCATTTCGACGAACCATCTTGTGAAATTTCGCCCTTTCACGGCATTCAAGACTAGTGCACTTTACATGACTTAATAATAGCTCCTTAAGAGTTGCATGAGGAAGTGAGATAGGTTTTTCTGGATATGCCAAAGTTTTTAATAAGCTATACGCTTCTCTTCCGATGAGTGTTAGGAAATGTGCCACAATTTTATCACCTTTAACATCTTTCTTGGTCATGCTCCAGATTTCAAACCTTCCAAATAATCCTCAAAAGCTTCAGAAGTTGAATGAATATCTAACTGTTCCATCGCAGGCTCCATCGCGACGCCAATATGATAATTAGAAGTATTTGAATTATAGTATGAACTAAGAATCCCAGAAATAACGTAATCGGATCAAGAAATACTAGATAACTACAAACGAATGTACTGTATTCATAATTCGAAATCAAGCATTCAACAAGTACAAAGGTATCATTAGTTCATGCAATCACCATATCTTTTTTGGTACTTTTAAGGATTTTGTCTGACTTAATCATTTTAGAAGATGATACACATTCTCTAGGCTTGACTTTTTCTAATTTTTGAAATGAATTTTTATATTAATATTATTTTGTGGCTTATGTAGTTTAACAATAGATCATAGTCTAATGTCTTGTGGTTTGATCCATACATTCTCGCAAATGTCAGTAATACTATCAGGCTATCCAAATCGAAGTAGGCTGGGACGGGTTAAAACCCACAACAGCGTGTTTATGCCATAGTGTTCAACCAATATTAAATCTCCCTTTTAATTAACTTTTTTCCCTCATGATTTTACAAACTCGCACTTGAGATTATTCGCTTTACAAGACTGCAATTTTGGGAGGCAGCACTAAGGAGTGAAAAACTACTCGATTGAACATGCTTAAATAAATTTATAAAAATCAACTAAATTCGGGTCATTAAAATTTCCGTTCCCGGCCGGTTTGTGTTTTCATGTAACCAAAAAGCTCAATGGTATATTTTTTTAAAAACCTAGGCTTGTTTTTCTTTCATTAGCAATTGACAATGTATTACGTTTATGCTCCTTCAAATTTCTAGACAATAATGATATTTGGTAAACGTATACGTTATGTGACCGTACCGAAATTAATTGATATTTCATCAACACTTGCAGAATGGGAGTCCAAAATTCAAAATGGTAGAATATTTTTATCTAGACCAACAAAATCATCAAAACCTTTAAAGGAGAGCCAGATTAAAAATAATGAGAATGAATTGTGTCAGTCAAGTATGACAAATGATCATTTTGTGGATATTAATTATGTCGATAACACCGAGAACATTCCGTGGTTGGAACAATCTGATCTAGAACAATTTGCATCTATTGGTGTAAAGCCGACAGGAGATAAAAAAGTTGATTTAATTATGGTGCAAACCTTAAAAGTACTTAATAACCCATTATAGTAACAGTATATTTGTTCGGTTAACTTGAATGCATTAAATACAACTATGTGTAAATATTTTGGGAGGATACGTTTAATAGTGCTCACTTTCAACGTACATCTTTTTTTGTATCATTCTACAAACCATTTCTTTGGAGTTAATGATTGATAAATCGGACTAATACACATACGTACCAGTTTCTGAGTTGTTGTTGATTGAACGATTTTATTATTCATTTCATTTCATTTCAGGATTAACAATAGGGAAGATATATAAACTGTCGAATCGTCTCACTGTTTTTCACTTTCCGTTTATAACCCAAGACAAAAATATTTAATTTCTGTGTCTTTTAGTTTCATATTGTCATATGGTAGGTTTAGTGATAAGGAAGTAATAAAATCAGTTACATTTCAAAGTTTATGGACTGAAATTTAATTCTCAGTGTCGTACTTTAACCTAACCGTAAATTTGTAAATATTTATGTAGAAATGAAACACCCGTTTATTATTATTATTATTATTATTATTATTATTATTATTATTATTATTATTATTATTATTATTATTAGCTTACGAGCATAATCCAGTTTCAGACGTTCTTAACTATCGTTTTGTAGTTAATGAGTTAAACATATTCATATTTTATACTCTAGGAACGATCACATTGTGTGGAAAAGGTAGCTTTCAGTCAACCAAATATTTGATAAGAGCCCACCAACCTTTGTCTTCTAAACATGTAGGATAATGTTATGCAAGAAAATATGATGATTTTTTTCACTGATAAAAATGTGCAACATTGGTATACAAAGAACACAAATAATTGGGAATGAAGTGAATGTATATGCAGTAATCTTAGGTGCCTTAGCAGATTAAGACGAACGTGCCGGACATATACATCAGTTGATAACGAATCTAAGGGACTTTTATTTAATCTTATTACACTAAATTTTAGAGAAATCGTCAAGAGTTTGTGGTTTTTCGAAATTGTGACTTTCTACAAGATATTGAGACTGTCGTACGGTTCACCGATTGCTTTTTCGGATGCGTCTGCTGCTATGCCAATAGAACTATGAAGTCTACGCGTGAGCATCTTTGTCTTTCATCATTCCAAGGTTTCCGATGGATAGTCAGGATGGTTTTGAGAACATGGGTTGTCACATAGAAATATGATATGTGGTATTGGTAACTGGTAACACGTAGTGAATCCCTCGTTGCTTGTCTAAGGTCAGGGTACAAGTTGAGTAGCGGTTAAAAGTACGGATTGAAAGTACACTTAGCTTCAACTGAACGCGAATCCATAGCTTAGTGTTTCCATGTAGAAACCTTCATTTACTTGGATGGGTGCGCAAGTTCCGAGTAGGTCTATTAAAGCGGCTGCTATAACTTGATCAAACTCATGTTGACATAAACTCAACTTTTTCAGTATATGACAGTAGGTTTTTCACTTGTCGCCTGTAGTTAAAGCACGGCTTCCCACTAGAGACTGGTCAAGGCTATGAGGAAAATGCCAATTTTTTTGCCAGGATTTATGAGATTGCGAACTTTTTTAATTAACTCGTGAATATATAATAATAGTAATTTATTCTCAATGACCGTAAGTTAAATGAAGTATGCTAACTTATAGACAAGGTCAAATTGTTACAAATGTTGGATTTTTATTACGTTGGACTCGTTTACTCATTTTGGTTGCTGCTTCATGATGGCAGTTTTTCTACAGAAGCAGGATAAAATAATGGTGTGCAAATTGATGATTGTTGGACGAAAAGTGAATTGTACAGTGTAGAAGATGGCGCGTCATATGGCTGCTGCGTTACGAGGACGAACTCTTGGTAGTATATGCTGCACGGGTCATACAGTTTATAAAAAAACGTAACGACCACGGTTATTACCAACGAGTATCGATGGACTAGTTATGTCCGTAACTTAAGAGACCATCTATACTCTTCCTTCAAATGTCCACTGCCTCCATCTGATCTTAATGTTCCGACCTCACATACCACCAATTGGTGAATTTGACTAAGTTGGTCAGGTCTACTCACTTTGTTATACCTACTGTTATTTGTGTTTAGCTCCCACTTTTCCTGACCGACTGCTTGTTTGAGATACCTGCAGAGATCATATTATTTACATTTCACATACATATAAAACATTAGGGATCGAATTTGACCTGTTTCTACCATTTCCTACCCCTCCCCCAGACTGCACACTGTTATGGGACAAGTTTAAAAAAGCTACCTTCGGCAGAACTGTCCTTGAAGTAGTTTCTTGGGTTAAAAACTCCATGTTGCTATCGTTGGGCCAGACAAAATGAATCCTCGACTTGCAAATCTTCTGTGTACTGGATGCCTGGTAGATCGCTTTTCCCTTTTGTCGGGCTCTAGGTTCATATTTTGTTGTGATTTTGCCTTGGCTAACTATATGGTATGCAGGATTTTAATCCTAAGATCGTATTTTTCTTCGATGTGGAGGGGACCTCTATTAGGCCTGTTTTGTTTTTTACGTTTTGGCTTCTGGTTTCCTGTTCTGGTCGTTATTTTCATCCATTCATTATCTTCAGTAGGGGTTGTGGAGATTGTTGAATTTCATTGAAATCATGAACCGATCAGGGCTAGACCGCTATTAGAGGTCTGGAAGCACTGGACAGCCATTTCTCTCTAGTATGGGGCTACTCAGCAGTAAGCACCCACGATCCTGCTTTCTCGAGAGATCGAAGGCCCTTGGTTCAAGCCTCACATGCAAGATCGTGGATATTTACTGCTGCGTAGTCCAATAATAGGACGAACTGGCTTTCCAGATTTCCACTTATTATTATATTATCACCACTGAATTAACTACATCTATGGATCTGGTGTTCATCTTGTTGTGCTAATGAGATATGGAAACTTGGACCGATGCGGATATATGCCCGGTTCTCTGTTGTAGCTGACTGACTGACTTATTATGATCATTAGAGCTGCGCGTGGGTATCCTTTTTGTTGTTTACCCGTATCATGGTGTCCGGTATTTCTTTGTTTCGCAGAGTCTCAATGGATTTCACGGGATCTACTTTAAACAGGTTCGGTAATGGAGAACCTGAGTGTTTCCCTGGGATATTATGCTTGAATACTTAGTGGCAAGCATACCCAGTTTCAGGACACAACTGCGTAAAAATGTGCCTGCCAAACACGATGAACCCAACCAGCTTAAGAAAACGTGTTAGAAGGTTTTTGATGAAGAAAAAGAGGAATGTCAGAGCATTATTAACCGTGGCCTAAGCTTCCTAAAAGTACACCTCAATCAGGATGTACTGCAGTCTAGAACCGAAACCTCATTGACAGCCATGACTTTTAGTGTGTTATCGTACCCCGACACTTCTCCTTCAAACACAGTAGTGATACCTCAGAAGAGTATTAACGACTAGTACCAAGCCTGCTGTCACATATTTAACCACTCATTTAAATATATGTAAATAAGGCTGCTAACACGAAAGGTGGAAGCTTAACAATTACGGGTAGTATATCTCCAACCTACTAATCAAAGTACATGCGAGATGTCTGTCTTCTCTTTAAATTTTGATAGATGTTTTTCCGTTCGAAGTTCTGTTCTGTCTACTTTATAGATTCCTTGGAGTTGACTGTGTTTTAATCAACCGAATTACCTATCAATACAAATTATTTTGGATTTTATTTCGTGTATTCTAGGTCAAATTTTCCTCGTTTGTGCGCTTCAACTTGCTTTAAAGGGATAATTGGTCACCTTGTAGGATCTAGTTCATAGGATAATCTAAACTATCGTAAAAGCTACAGTAATGTATGAGGTACAAAGGGTCGTCGGGGATACTGACCTGGAGTCACTCGCGTTTTTGGTGGTCCCAGTAGTTCATGGTGAGCAGTGTGGTATTAGGAAAGGCTGCATGTATATTCGTGGATCAGTGGTAAGGGAATTCCGGATCATATTGAGGAGTTAGAGACTTGTGAAAAAAGATGGCATTTTCCTTCATTCACTAAACATTTGTCCCTAGTACACGTACTCTACAACACCTTTCTGTTCGAATTGAAGATGTATTTAATTATTAAACGCCTAAGTTCCCATAACACAGCTGTGAACCTAATTGTACTAGTCGCAAACAGGCCTTTAATTTATTGCTGGGAATAATAAGACCGACATTTACTCCGGCAAGTTCGCAGATGGAAAAGAAGAGGCTTCAAACTTGGCGAAACCGCTCAGTCTGATGTTCTCACATTCGCTTAGCCGAGACTTGATACCAGAAAAGTGGAAACCGACAGAGAGAACCTTCAAGCTACTTTCAGGTAGAAAGTCACTCTACACCCTAAAAATATGCAATCCTTGTTATACAACGATATACATGACTACTTACTATCCATTAACTTCTCACACCAACAGCACGGTCTCGATAAGTGTCACTATTCTATGACCAAGTAGCTGATCGTGGTGGACAGACGGAAAACCACCCTTGATCCCAAAGAGAAGGTCGACGTCATATACACTGACTACTAAAAAGCTTTTAATGGGGCCAACCATGTGTATATTATCAACGAGCTTAAACTGTTAGACATCAAGTCACCAGCAATTCATTGTCTTACTTTATATCTAGATAATCAACTTTTTGGGATCAGAGTAAACTTTACACGTTCTCAGACTATGGATCGTCGTAGTGGGGTTCCTCAGGGTTCAGTACTAGGATGTCTTCTTTCCTTAATTTACATAAATGGCCTTCCTCAGCAAGTATTGTATGATTTATTGCTTTCCACTGACGATGTTAAACTTTGGAGAGAATTTTGCAACTGAGATGATAAGGTGGTAATTCGAGAGGATCTGAATGGACTTCAAAGTTGTGCGAATAACAAGAGACCTATTGCCAACACTTCAAAATGTAAAGTAGTTCGTCTGAGACATGATGCAGAATATGTGTACAAATTACGCACTTACATTCGATATATCTAGAGTTGAAAATGATCTGGAAGTGTTGGTATCCTATAATCTAATGTCTTGCACTAGCCGCATTAAAATTTCCTTTCGAGCAAATCTCATACTTGTAACATTGAAGTTAATTTTTGGCTAGTTTGACCGTAGAGCTATGCGCCTAACCGTCGACTGTTTTATTCGGCCCACTTAGAATGTGAGAAAATGATGTTTCCTCCCTCACTCCAAAACGATAACGATACAATGGAACCTATTCAACGTTAAGCCACAAAGTCGGTTCGGGAATCAAATACAAGTTTTATGTAAAGGGTCTCAAATCATCCATTAGAGGCTGGTCATTAATGCAATTTGTGGACTGGAATTCAAACCTTATGCGTGATACTTAGAATTACTGGATCGCTGGCTTTTAGGATATAAGGGATTCAGAGGCAACTATTTGATACAGAACGTCAAACAATATTGGGTATCTTCTAGTAAATACCTGAAATAAGGGGTACAGCAAACTAAACTGAACTCTAGATATGTCTACTACTTATCAAGACTTGAAATTCGTTACTGACTCAAACGGTCCCTGCAACCTTCCAGGAGTACTTC